TTAATTGTGACTTGGAGGCAAATCTTTTTCCACATGCATCACAAGTAAAGGGTTTATCTCCTGTGTGGATTCGCATGTGTTTATTTAATGTTGACTTATAACCAAATCTTTTTTCACATGCATCACAAGCAAAGGGTTTGTCTCCAGTGTGGATTCGCATGTGTTTATTTAATGTTGACTTATAACCAAATCTTTTTTCACATGCATCACAAGCAAAGGGTTTATCTCCAGTGTGGATTCGTATGTGTTTATTTAATGTTGACTTATCACCAAATCTTTTTTCACATGCATCACAAGCAAAGGGTTTGTCTCCAGTGTGGATTCGCATGTGTTTATTTAATGTTGACTTATCACCAAATCTTTTTTCACATGCATTACAAGCAAAGGGTTTGTCTCCTCTGTGGATTCGCATGTGTATGTCTAAAGCTGACTTCTGTTTAAATCTTTTTTCACACATATGACAGTTGAATGGTTTTTCTCCTGTGTGGATTCGCATGTGCATATCTAAATTAGATTTCTGGTAAAACCTTTTTCCACAGGTATCACAACCAAAAGGTTTGTCTCCTGTGTGGATTCTCATGTGTGCGTTTAATCGTGACTTGTGGGAAAATCTTTTTCCACATGCATCACAACTAAAGGGTTTCCCTCCTATGTGGACTTCTGTATGTCTTTTTAAATCAGGTTTCCAGTTAAAACTTTTACCACAGTCATGAAAGATAAAATGTTTACTACCTGTCTGGACTTTTGTTAGTGAATCTATAATTTTCTTCTCTATGAAACACGTCTCATTATTGAAACAATCTGAAAACGTTAATCTTGGATGACATGTCATGTGACTATGAAGAGAGCGTCTGTTAGCAAATTTTCCCCTACATTCAGAGCAGCTCAAAGATTTGTTGACAGCGTTCCTGCCTGACCCTGGAGCCCTGCTCTCCTTCCAATCATCCTCACTATCTTCAGTTTCAGAGTCTGATAAGCATTTAAGATCAGATTCATGATGCTTCACATCATCATCCTCTTCATCATCTACACTGTCATTAGTCTCTAAATAGTCAGAAGTGCCTCCATGAGTATTTAGATCTGGGTTCCTGCTGGATTCTGCTGTTCCACAGTCCTCTACTTTAATTTCTGCTTTTATCTGGTCAGCTGAGCTGCTGTTTGAAAGATCTCGGTCTTCTGTTTGCTGTTGATGAAGCTGAGAGAAAAGAGGTTTCTCTTCATCCTCTTCACTCTTCATATCAACAACAGTTAATGGAAACCTGGTATCATCAGTCTCCTTCTTCACATTCAGCTGTTCTCCATCCTGGCTGGCCCAGATTCTTTCACTTTCCTCCTTTATGTGGAGGAGCTCCAGCTCCTGCTGGTCCATATCAGGACTCTGTTCTTCAGGAGCCTCTTCTTTAACATCTGCAGACATCATTGAAACACATTACATGCATTATGAACAACTTTATCCTGACAATGTTACAAAGATGATAAAGATTAAAACTAGAGAAGAAAATCTGATAAATATTTTTGCTGAACAGTACAGTAGGTAAAATCAGATATGCCACAATGGTGTGATAACCTTGAGTGTAAATACTAAAGTTTCACTGCGTCATGGAATAAATATGAGTTTCTCTTTTATATATATATATATATATATATATATATTCGTTTTTTGTTATTTTTTATATATATTATTTTTATTATTATTTTTTATATTTTTTTTTAATTATTATTTTATATATATATTTTGTTTTTTATTAAAAAAAATTATATATTTTTTTTATAAATATGAGTTTCTAAAACAAATGAGTACAATGATTTGCCGTAATTTAAGCTGAAAAATAATGGTTATTACATTGCTGATCAAAAACATAGTATATTTATTATATTGTACACAACAGATAAGGCTTCTTTAGCTATGTTTAAGGCTTTTGAATTACTTTAGATGCTTTTTTTAGAAGCTTGATGCTTCTGGTTGATTATGATTTTACTCGGAATGTCTTGAATCTGTTTACTCCTGGCTTACAGGTACATGCTTTCTAAGGCATTTTACGTACGTTAAGTACGATATACAGCTAATCTACGATAAACTGAAGAAGAGAGACTTTGCTGCTGTGTAGTTTTAAAAACAGCTCAACATTCTAGTTTGAGTTTTGATCATTACCCAGCTGTGAATCAGTACACATGGCAGATCCTGACTAAACACACAATCTAACTCAGTAAAACAAGCCACCTAGTGCTATATCTAAATAAATTCAAACTTTTAAACATAGTTTTCTTTGTTCCTCCACAACAATCATGATGAGGAGCCTTTGGATAGCATGCAGAGCTACCCGTTTAGATCCATAGAACCCGGTTGGAGTGTTCCACCAGTACCGCAACTTCACCAGAAAAGAGTTACAATGAAACCCTCGAATCTATTGACCAAAAGATTACGAGCCTTGGCGCCAGACTGGTCCTTGTAGAAGAATGAACATGGAGAAGAAAACAAAAAGGGAAAGAAATGGAGAGGTGGGGCAAAAAGTTAAAAGGGAGAGGAGATAAGAATGGAGGAGAGAAAGAAGGATAGAGACTATAGCATAACCCCCTAGAGGTCTGCTTCTACAAAAGAAAACATACAGGGACAAACAAAAAACCCATATATAACCTAGGCAACATCAATGAAAAGTATATGGTACTAATTAATACAAGATGTATTTAGTCGCAACAGCAGCTCAATATAGAGTACATCTGTATAGTTCGTATCTGTTAACACCTGAATCCAAACACCTGTGGATGTATATATGAGCCCGTATCTGTATGGCTTCTTCATAAGTATCTTCAACAACAGCAGGAGTGAGTAGCAACAGACCTGTCTCCCAGGCAGGTCTCTCAAGGCAGACACAAAGGAAATAAGAGCAAGAGACATTCAAAGGCCCCCTCGAGGACCCCGGGAGGAGTACCGTGCAACCCCAAGAGAAGAGCAGAGGAGAGCCCTGAGGGGACCACACAGCAGCCGCACTGCAGAAGGCCCAGGGAGCTACATCGACGAACCCACAGGCCCTGCCAGCAGACAGCCACGCTGGATCACATCCAGCCATGGACCCAGGGACCTGAGACCCAAAGGCACACCTCCCCCATCAGAGTTCAATAGAGCAAGGGAGCCCAGGCCCTGCCAAGCAGCCACGAGGAGTGAGCCAGCACACACCCAAGCACCCAGCCCTGAACACAGAGAACCACCAACGTGCCGGAGACACCAGTCACTGGCTGGCAGTGTGACATGGAGAAGGAGATAACCCAGGAAAGAGGGCAGATCAAGACCCAACCTGACAACCCCAATCCCTGCACTGAAGCCTGGCCCCCAATGACCCCCTCCAGAGATAGGGCCAAAAAAAGAGAGGGGTACAGCCACTTCCACAGAGGCAAACCCCCACAAGCCTTAACACAGTGCACTGCGACAGCAAGGCAAAGGCCCTGTGAGATGCCACCCCAGCTACCACATGCGAGTGCAACCGAGCAGACACCACCAAGTCTCGTAACCACACCGAACCCCACACCAAGACGGGATCAACTCACCCCCCCAAGTATTCACTGGCAGGTAGCTTTGTAACCGGGGCCGGAGGCCCCCACCATGCCTCTGCAACCACAAAACATCACTGCCACTACAGCATCAGAGAACCACTGCCCAGCTCAGCTCCATCACCACTGCGCAGCCAATCCAAATGTCCACACGCTGCAAGCCCACCGCGGCAATCCCCTGATCTACGCACTAACATCTCTCCCCAGACGCAAAGTGAGCGGAGCAGCACACTGCGGCACCTATCCAACCACCCAGTCAAGACCTTCAACCCCAGCCCGCCAATCCTTGGGTATAAAAAAAAACGGATACCCAATGAATTCCACACCACAAACCTGGAGGCACGCAGGCTGCAAACCACCCACCCCCCAACCCCTGCTCAGCACAACACCGCCAAGAACGTTTGCACCAGGCTAGCCAACCAGCCCATCTATCAAAGTGAGGCCATACCCCCAATCACCAACGCACAACACCCAACCAACCCTTCCCCATCAGAATCTGACGGTCCCCCCAACCAGCAGACTGGGCACCAAAACCATGAACCAAAATCCTAATATCCAAAGGATTCCAGTAGAACTGAAGCCCCAGCCCCAACTGACCACAGAAACCCGACACACAACACCAGCCCAGACCCCAATCATATCGCCCAATCCTCCTCCCGGCCTGATGGCAAGCAGAAAACTGGGGTGTGAATATGTGAAAGAACCCTAGCCTATCTGCCTGCTAAAATGTAGCATTGATGCGTGTTGTTATAGAGTGCATTCAAAATGGGGGAGGGTTGGGAGGGGGGCGGCCAACATGCCCAACCCACCCAAAACCCTCAAAGTCTACATCCAACTCAACATTTAGAGTTGGCACGAGAGGTGAGGCTAATTAAATTGATCCCTCTCTGAATGCTGTTAGATGTGCCCACCCCCAAGGCACTACATGTGCATGTCATGAAAATATTATAAGTGAGAGAATCTAAGTGGCACTATAAAATCGTCTGCCATCAGACCACAAAGATGGAAACCCATCCCCACGCCCCAATGATGCACCTGCTCCCCAAGGCCCTACATGAGTGGTAGTGTGATGGAGCAGGTGGACGGAGGTGTCCAGGGATGTGGAGGGGAAGGATTGAGGGGCAAAATCCTCTTTGAGGGAGCCAGCTCCAATAGGCACTCCCGTTCACTGACATCCACCAAGGGAGGGAGGCAATGGCACAACCACCCCAGGGCCAATGGCAGCAGCACCACTGAGCCCCACAGAGCCCAAAGCAAGGGACGGGCATCAAGCCCTGGGAACCAACCAGAATGCAGGTGAAGAGAGAATAAAGCTCCGTGTTTTGGCTTTGAAAACTTCTACGTGGCATTCTAGGCTTCATTTGTTAAAACAACAGATGAACCTTTGTGGTGCGCACCAGAAATTTTCTATAAACCTTTTAAAAGGTTTATAAGGTTTTTTTTTTAAAGGTGGCTGCACGGTGGGGCAGTTGGTAGCACCGTTGGCTTGCAGCAGAAGGTCCTGGGTTCGATTACCAGCCGGGGGCCTTTCTGCATGGAGATGGCATGTTCTCCATGTGCATGCGTGGGTTCTCACCAGGTACTCCAGCTTCCTACCACAGACCAAAGACATGCCTGTTAGGTTAATTGGTCACTCTAAATTGCCCTTAGGTGTATGAATGAGTGTGTGGATGATTTTTTGTGTGTTGCCCTGCAATGGACTGGCGACCTGTCCAGGGTGTACCCTGCCTCTCGCCCATAGACAGCTGGAGATAGGCACCAGCTCGCCGCAACCCACCTTGGAATAAGCGGTAGAAAAAATAACTGACTGACTGACCTTTTAAAAGGTAAGTTATTCTCCAGTTAAACGTATTTGATGCTGTGTTACTGTTTGAAATTACTGGCAGTTTTACTATTGAAGTAATAGATGTAAAACTTTTATGAACTTTGATTAGAATAAAGCGTTCTTCGAATAAGTGGAAGAACTTTCTGTAAAATTTAGGAATAAAACCTTGACCGAATCATTTCAATTGGAGACAGTAGAGTTCTTCACTGTGAGGTTAGGAAAAAAAAAGGAAAAAGTAACCCTGCAAGTCTTGGAGATTGGAATTTCCTGTTGCAAGCGCGTGTGTGTGCACACCCGTACACACAGACACACACAAACATGGAGAGCAGAATACACATGATGAAAAAGTAAAAGTATGAAAGTTGCCAGCACGTGTATGTCTAATGTCTGTCCATTTGTTATACATGTGGGTTTATTTGTTACCAACATTTGTTTGTCTAATATTTTTTACTTTCTTTCTCTTCCTTCTCATTTATTTTTGAGAATATATAGTTTCACAAAAAAATGACAGAAAATTTGATGACTCTGTCGAATTGTAGCCTCTTTTCGCTCACAAAGTCCGGACTATGAGCGAATTTATTGAATACTTTAAATTCAAGTGAGCGCGAAGTGGTCTGCAGTTACCTTGGAGTCTAAATTACCTTTAAAGAAAGGAAAATGGGCTAGGATCTGTGTTCATAATTGAAGTAATAACCCTACCTTAATCTATTTGTTTTCTTTTTCTTCTCTGTCGAAGCTGAAATGTTAACTCCTATGTAAATACAATGTAAAGTGTTTATAACTTCTTAATCACCAAAAGACAACTGGTATATTTAAGTTGTTAATGTTTAACTGAAGAATATTTTTATTCATTCTGTTCAAAGTGATGGTTTGGCCTGTATGGGAGCCAGTGTGTGTGACTGTTTATATGAGAAAATGTGTGTGTGTATCCCGCCACAGGGCCCGTTCTCAAAGGGGGCCGGGTCCAGAGTTTTTATTGTCAATTTTCATTGCATTATTCTTCATTAATGTTTTACTGATAAATTGGGTCACACCTCATCGTGCTTTGTACTATAAAAAGCATAATGAAAATGTAATCATGCATTTTATCGACTGAAAGAAATTCCTTAAATGTAAGGGATCATAGGTAGAAATGTATCAAAGTACACTGCTCAAAAAAATAAAGGGAAGACTCAAGTAACACGTCCTAGATCTGAATGAATGAAATATTCTCATTGAATACTTTGTTCTGTACAAAGTTGAATGTGCTGACAACAAAATCACACAAAAATCATCAATGGCAATCAAATTTATGAACCAATGG